TATCGAACAGGTTTCGGCGGAGTCGTTCTTCAGAAAGTTTTCTGTGGAAAGAAAGCCTTCTTGCAACGACCAGCCATGTTGGGGGGCAAGCGCAATACAACCTTTTTGGCAGCTTTCTCCGTCCAATAACAGGGCTGTTCGCACTCTGAATCTAGTGAGACTCGGTCTGAATTCCTCCAAAAGCCCAAAAAGACTTTTGAACGCTCAAAATCTGCAGGTCGTGTTGCAAAGAACCAACAAGCTGTGTACAGGAAAGCAACCTGGTACAGGACAGTAATGCTCCCAAACTCTGTTAAAGTGTGAAAGGCCCAAAAGTGACAAGACCGCTAAGCCTGCTAAGCCTTGCATTCTGGTTTGCCTCCTCACTTTGTGGACTACTTTTGCTCGTATCTTTGCTGTAAAGTTCGTACAAGTGACCATGGACCTAAAGTTTTTCACCCATCCATGGCAACACATAGTTGTAGTGCCACTCTTCAGGTTTTGCAGTCCAACCGGGCTTCATTCCCATTGGGATCCACTGCTGTTCACTGAACGTTGAGGGGAGCCAGAGATTTTGAGCTATCACCTCTGAAATGTCTTCCCTCCTCTCGACTCATCCTCAGGGTGGTGTCCTCCAAGTGCTGTGATTTCACTCCCAAGCCTTGCATTGGCATCTCCAAGAAAGATGACTGGGAGTCTGTGATGTAGGAGCACTTGACCCACTCTGCTAGCTCCGGTCGAGATACTATCTCCCGCACAATTGTGTTCTCTCTCTCTCTCTCTCTATCCGGAATCCCCATTGCATCAAGGACACATGTCCGTGCCTCAATCAGCCAAGCCTTCTGTGGGCAAAAGGCATCCCAATACCATTCCATTTTGTCCATACACCGTGATGAGATCATCCTCATCGTCACTCGATTCTTGGGAAGGCATGCCGTTGGAAGGCCCGATTGAAACACGAGAAATGCCACGTACACTGATTTCAAGTATGGTGTAAACCAAAGTGAATAATGAAAACTTCATCCATGTGTGATTCTTGATGTTTCATACTTGCTGGACTTTCTAATATTCAGGCCTCATCATAGTCAGTTGCAGAATCCCTGCTGGCACTGAGTCTGCACATGTTGACCGTTCACCAACCTGCTTGGTTTGCACTGGCGTAGGGCAGACCCTCTCACGCTTTGTGGTTTGTTGCTTCTCCTTTTCTTCAAACATCCTCACCAACACAACATCCCCATGCAGTTGCAGAATACTGTCACCATTGCACTCCGCATTCACGGTAATCTCAAATCTGACTTCCACTTCTCTTGTCAACCCTCTCTGCACCAAGGCATGTCTAATTCCTATCACGTTGACGGAGCATTTGGATAGCCTGCGCATGTGTAACCAAATCCTGAAGCTCATGCTGGGTTCCACTCCAAATACCAAAACATACCGCCCCAGAAGGCATGAGGTTAGATGGATCATAGGACTCCACCTTCCAATCATCCTGATTACAGCCCTTTGCATTGGTTTGGCGCCCATTGCTTTATCCTTGTAGGTGTGGTGTACACCTCCAGATCAACCTCAGAGTGCTGAGTGGGGGAGTATGGAGGTCTCAGAGAAAAGACGACGACTCCTTTGCCTTCATTCATGTAGCCCTCCTCAAAGTACTGAGGTTCCCGTCCAAAGAAATGAACTGCCAAATCCGGCTATCCATGCCTCTTGGAATAATGACAGAAGACCAAAATTTGCACACAACGCGGGAAGTTAATTTGGTCGTGGGATTGAAGCAGTATACCATTCTGAAGCCTAGTACCCTCTGCTAAGGCTTTGCTAAGACGGAGTAAAGACCCTGAGCCTTCAGAGCCATATTCAATCACAGAATCTTTTAAATAGAAATAGAACATCAACTGCTAAGAATGCTAATAGAACGTGTCTTTGGAAGAAGCAACGACGGTAGGAGTTGTACCCCTGGGCCGACACGTTCTTTTGGTATTGCGACATCTTCTTCGCCGCCGCCTTTACGCTGGAGCACCTCGGCCGATCCCAAAAAAAAAGAGCTGATGAGCCTGACAATCATTTGCTTTCCCCATCAAATTCTGATCATATGCCACATTACGTTGGGAGCCACCGCCCTTGCTCGTTTGAATAGTTTTTGGATGAACACGGGAAACTTAAGCAGAGACCTGCCCAAGCAGATGGCATGAGTTGGACTGGCTAAGCGGCTAATCCAGGCCACGGATGTCGAAAGACTTACAGGGATATTCTCCCCTACTGTTCTGTTGCTCGTCAGGTCAGATATGAAATCTCCAAAGAGGAGATGTCACACTTTGCACTCAGAGATGTCACCCACTACTTTATATAAATAGGCGCCTACTTAATGAAGTAAGGGAGTAAACTGTTTTTCTCCTAGCTAGGACGCAAGATAGCTCACACTGATGATTTGGTGATAGATGTTGAGGGAAACTTGCGTTTGTCCACTGCTTACAGAGATGACTTCTGACCTTAAAATCCAACGGATGTCACACTGAGGATTCTCATTCGATGGATGGTGATTGGCAGAACTTTTTGGTGCCACATCCTCAATTGGTCCCGCGCTCAGAGTCGAGCGTCCAGCTGATCCGATTGGCAAAAGATATTCACGCTGACCACGTGATCTCACCTTATTCATCACCAGCAATGTCAGGAATTGCATTGTTCAAAAGGTTGTTTGGATATGTTTGGATTTGTTTGGGTTATGTTCCATCCCCGCCATTTTTTCCCATCCATTTTCTTAGGATCGATTTCTTCGTGATCCTCAGCAGCTGGATCGAATTCTTCGCCGCACCTTGCCGCATCAAACGCAAAACACAAACAAACGCCGCTGGGTGCGTCAGAGTGCTTCAATGCTTTGTTTCCCTTGAGTTTTGAGCGGTCGAAAGTTCGTTTGAGCATTGCTCGCACACGACTCATCGCACAGTCATACTTGCTTTTCTTGCTGAAAGTGGTTAACTGTTTGTGCACCCAAATTTTAGAGCCAGCGACTTCGGGGACCTACGCCCTTTGCAATACCAGTTGCGCCATGCTCCAACTTGAGGTTTTTGTTTGAGACCCTTAAGGATGTGGCAGATTGCTCAACTCACGATCTTCAATTGTACGATGGGTTCGGTTGAATGGAGTCCACCTAGGCGGCCTTGCCTTTCTCTCCGACCTTCCTACGGATGATGCGCTTGGGAAAGCTCCTGCGAGCCCTACGAGTCATACGGCTCTCGCGAGTGCCTCTGTCCAAAGAGACGTGGTCCGTCCGACTACTACCCACTGGACGCAGGATAGCTCACGCTTCTATTGTTTGGTTCCTAGATTTTTAGGGAAACTTCATGTTCTTTCAATGTAACTGCTAAGCCGTCATTATGAAACAAAAACATCTCATGACAAAAGAACAGAGAGGACACAATGGTTTGTGGCACAACATCAGAGAAGAGCATGGCAACGAAACCCGGTCAGGTGCGGTGGCCATAACACAGAGGACTTAAGGGTATCAATCAATCGGGAAGGTTCTCCAAGGAATAGAGGAGAAAGAAGAGACAAAGAAGTCGCCAACAAAATAGAATTCCGAAGGAACCATAAGGAACTGATTCATGATTAACTGATGGCCTCTCCCCTAAGAGCGATGGCCTCCAACCTACCAGGAAGGTTCTTCGAGGCAGGTTCTCCGTTTCCAAGGGTTTTCCACAAGGCTCCCACACGTGCAGCACACGCGAGTTGTCAACAAAGCAGTACCAAGAACCACGAGAAGTGTCAAGCCGGAAAGTCTCAGTAGGGTTCGAGCTTCGGCAAGATTTCGGTTTGAAGGTGGAAAGGTTCAGCAAGAGTTCCAGCCTTCTAAATGCTTCTAGACGGATGTCAGACTGCCACGCAAGTCAAAGCAGTTCCAGAGAGGTGGCAAGACAGGAGGGTGCCCGGACCGGCTCAAAGTTGCAGCAAGATTTAAAATCGGAAGGTTCCCAAGGACGCTACTAGGAGCTGCTAGGGGCTCCTGGCACACCATCGCGATCGGTCCACGAGTCGCAACTACGCCCACTCTGGAGCATAGCGAGTGAAAAGGATCTAAAAGAAGTGGCCATCGGCCACAGGATCGCCGCGCAGGCGGACAACCCCCAAAAAAGAAAAGTGGACAATGCCCGCGCAGCTCCGACATCAAACAAATGCACCAATTGTTTTCGCTCATCATCGGTCATATAGATCGCAGCACCAGAAATAATGCCCTTTGGGAGGGCACGCCCAGCATGTTTGGTTTCAGTCGCAACAAGATCACCCGGAAAGATCTGACCATGCTCAATGTCACAGGCGAACCGAAGCATAGATCGAAACGCCAAGATCAAGTGGTGATAGAAGCTGACTCCTGCTTCCAACTGTGAATGGCGATGTCCTCGCCACCAAAAGAGGCAGGCGAGCTCCGTTGTAGCAACACAAGATTGCATGTCGATCCTCCAACGGAGATTGTTGAGAAAATTTCGACATTCCCGCCAATCATCGTCAGTGTGGGTCCACCTTGCTGGAGGTAGCTGGTGTGCAAAAATCTTGGGTTTCCATGGAAACGCTGATTTTGGAGTGGCCCACTCCCATTGTGGGAACCGAGATACAATGGAGGCCGGCGACTCGGCCGATGCCTTAGGGCCTTTTGAAACCGTTGGAGATGGCTGTGTTGTATCCAACAGCCAATTCAACATGACCAGCCATTCGTGCCGGTGAAGAACGGCACTCTCCAGTATACGTTGGTCCCGCGGATGAATAGGAGAGAGGATCGTGGCAAGTCGGTTCGCTTCTTTATCTGCAACTCTGTTGGCAAGAATGTCACGGGCTGTAGAACCACACTCTCGTGCGGCTGCTTCCGATATAAGTTCCCCGGGCAGCTGTTCTAAGAGGTGGCTTGGTGTCCACAACACCTCGATGGGTGATACGCAGTGTTCCTGCCGTTGCAGCAACACGCGGCAAATCTCCAGCCACCACGGTCGGTGCGACCAGGATTCTGGGACCTGTTTCAATCGGGTCAGGTCAGCAAATTGGTCCACAAGGGATTGGCAATCAGATTTGACCTGAATACAGCATGTTGCCCGCCGGATAACCCGGAGAAGGGCATAGAGTTCTGTGGTGTAAGCTGAAAGTTCCCAGTGGGACACTCTACCAGATTCAACGATTTGGAAACGAGCATCCACAATCGCATAGGCACCGGTGGCCAGCCAAAAGTAACTTCCCCATTGCACTGATCCATCGGTCCAGTACAGCTCAGTGATGTGAGCATCAAAACTAGTCGACTCGGCTCCCATGGATGACGTCTGTAGTCGCTGGAGTGCAACCGACCTTGGATGCGTGCACAGTCCGAACATGGGGAAGTTGATCCCTAGTTCATGATTGGGAGGTCTCGAGATGGCAGAGGCAACACCAGGACACTCATGGACTAAGTGCGCCCAATTCTCCTTGGCACAATTACAAAGGCGGCATTTGGGTGATTCGACAAGTTCCGCCCGAAACAGGCGATCGTTGGTCAGGTTGCAGCCAGTCTGGACCGACTCAAAGAAAATCTGATTGGGAATTGACGAGTCCAAATGTAGCCTAGATTTGCGTGTAAAGAGAGACGAAAGGTCAGGATCAAAGATGGACGAACACTTAGAAATATCCCTTCTCTTTGAACTGGCCGCATCACTGTAACATTTTTGTTTAGCCAGGTACTGCAACGGTTTGGCGATGTCCCTATGATTCATGTCGAACAGCGGAGTGTGTTCGGATCCACGAAATGAGATGCATAAGCCAGGCTGCAAGGTCAGCCCCAGGGTCTTGAGGGCTTCAGCCAGCTGCCAAATCAGTGATTCTCGTGGCCAGGGTTGGTTGCTTTGGAGATCGCGGCATGTCTGAATAGCACTAGGCATCTGGTTCAAGAACCTGACAAAATCGATAACCGCGGCGTAAGCGCGGGCGAGCTGGGGTTCAGTTCTGTGGGGTGTTGCCACAATACCTAGAACAAGGAGGCGGGATCTCCAGTGGGGACGCCTGGCCCACAGCACATTGACGATTTCATTCTGCGTTTTCCACAGCACCCTTTGCGGGATCTTTGTCATACCAGATCCGTACGTGAGTTGAGGGACCACTTTGGCACCAATGATGTGTTTCTTAACGGACATTGGCAAAGGCAGCGCTGAAATGTTCCGTAAATCATCAACAATCTTCTCCCCTTTTTTGGCATCAAAGTCAAATGATTTCGTTGAGGAGACATAGATCTTCACACCCAAGACATCTATGACATCCGCGAGGGGGACATCTGGAAAAAGCGCCGCCACTCGCTGTTTCTGTGAAGAGTCGGAGACCCACAGTCCCACAGTTGGCATTTCTTGGGATTCGAGAGCTGCCCCGTAAGTGTGTCCCAGAAAACAGTGACATCGAGTGCCCTTCGAAGTTCATGTACCTGGGACAGGTGAGACCACAGGTATGCATCGTCAATGAATGCTTTAGCCGTGACCTGTGGGATGAGATCGACAAAAATGGACCACACCGACGTGAACAAATTAACAGCGATCAAGGACAATGAACAACCTTGGGCAACACCGTTGGATGCCGTCGTCGCGATCGGTGAAATCCATCCTCTCAGGGCGAGATGCCGGCGGAGGTTGGTGTACATCTGGACAAAGAAGTGAACGATCCCCCGCGGAAGGCCAAATGCCAGCATGAGAACACCCGCCATGGCCGGGATGAGGCGGTCGAAGCACTTAGATTTGTCTAATTTAAGGCCCACGAGGGGAGTAGAATCCCTTTTAGCGATGTCAAGGTCCATCCGAAGTTGTGTGTGCACGGAGGTCATGGTACGGCCCTTAATAGCACCACACAAATTGGGGGGAATCACTGATTGCTGCCATGCTTGTAGTTGGCGAAAGCGAAGGCCAGTATAGGTCAACAAGATGGCCGGGAGCAATGTGATTAACCTTTTCTGCATAGGGGATGGGTCCCCGTTCTTATTAAGGACCATCTGTTTAGCGATGGTCAGCACTTGGGGGAGAGGTGTGAGTTCCTGCTCAATCTGATTGAATACAGCCGCAACGGGAACAAGTGCGAACCAAGGTAATCTTTGAAGTTCAACAGTCCTCCACCCGTCAAGACCTGGGGCAGCCTCGGGCTTTCGGCGGTGAATCTGTTCACATAAATCTCTTGCAGTAATTTCTGGAAGGTGAGGCTGCTGGGACAGATGTGACACATATGGCCAAACAACACGCAAAATGGTGTGGGGGTCTTCATGGAGAGCATTGGCCCCGAACACCTGATCCCACTGTGCATTGAACTCTGAGAGGGCATCGAATGGTTGGTACAAGATGTTGCCATCAGGGTCTGTGGACTTGTGTTTAAGGTGCTGGAAAACATCTTTCTTGCTGCCCTCCGCGGACTCTCTAATCTTCTTCCTCCAAGCTTGGATTCGGCTCTGTCTGGTGTTGCACATGACCGGCCAAACACTGGGGCTGTTCCACTTGTTCAATACCGTCCTGGCTTTGTGGAATGCATCAAGGTATCATCTGCGAAAGAGCGAACCGGTCTAGACAACCGAAGGAAGATTTCCCGCAGGAGATTGACGGTAGTTGCAATCCTTTTGGTTTTTCTAGAAAGTGCGTCTCCTTTGGCTGTCTGTCCTGGGCAAATGCGAGTAGGACGGAACGATGGGGTGCGACCACGAGTTTGGGGTCCCGATTCCCAAGTGGCCCCATTGGCCTGGAGGACATGTAGCATATAGCTGTTTGTAATCTGCCATTTTTCATCAACCGTGGGTGCAGTCTGGAAAGCGGCTTCATATGAAGAGGTCCACAATTGAACTGCATTGTCGTGGCAAGGACACAAAGGATCCCCATTGTCTGGGACCGAACACCTTTCAAGGTTAAGGGCAGCCGTTTTAATCAACGTGTATCCAACCTGAGTAATACGATCCCATTCAAAACGAGCTCTGATGGGTCGATGCTGAACTTTCAGCTCAAGGACCTCGATGTGGCGTAGAGCCGTGAAGGCTACATGATTGCACAATATACCATCGATAGACGTACACCGATCCCCTTGCCCGGTGAAAAGCCCATCGTTAGAATACGTGAGGGGTCGAAACAACTCACCTTCCTCATTAACTTGGATCAGTGGGTCGGTCCATGAGTGGTTGTTAACCGCAGCGGAGACACTTGCGTAATGCAAGGGGTTGAGTTGGAAATCTCCACACACAATGACCGGTACCGGACCGTATTGGGCAGCACACTCAAAAACTTTACTTAAAAGATGATCATTCTCCGCATGGACCTCAGGATATTTAGATGCTGCCGTTTTGGCGTAGATCGAAAAAACCAACAAACGTACCTGCGGTGCGACTTGGATCCAGACAGCAACGACCCTTTTGGACGCATAGAGCGATTGGTATATGGTGCACGTACTGGGATCAAAAGGAGACACGAGTTCATCGTGTGCCAAAATGGCTGTGCCTCCAGATCCTGACTTGACAATCCCGTTGGACTGAAGGATTCCGGGCAGAAGGCCACCGTGGTACAACTTCATGTTGCAGGCTTCCACATCTTTCGAAAAAGATCGGACGTTTCCTTTACCGATTCTAGTCTCTTGGAGACAAATGATGTCATCGTTGCAAGTAGACCAAAAATTGTTCTTTTTCAGGGAACCAATGTTTGCAGTAACCACGGAAAGCTTAGTCTGTCCGGTCTCGCCAGGTCCTTCGCCTGGGAAGCCCCGGGAAGAGTCAAAGTATGAAGGGAACCACACTGGATTGGTTCCGATGGTGCAAAGGATGGCGCCCCCCTGAACCCGTGGAAGGCATCTAGATATGCAGTAATTAGGCCCTGAGCAACATGTGAGCGTGCTGCGAGATGTAGGAAACAAATCAAAGACAGGACACAAAATCCATAAAGTCCACAAAATCCACAAAGTCCACAAAATCCAGCCGAACATTGGCAGGCACGCAGGACGCAACACCTTGCGCAAGGATAGTGCAAATGTCAAGGGCATGGCAGTAAGCTGCTGCAGCCACACACACAAGCACGAAAGGCAGCCTCGGAGAGGATTGGTGTCCCCCCTCCTGGTGATAACATGAGATAGCAAAAATGAAAATGCGATGTCGGCAGAATATAGGGGGTGGAGAACCCCATTGCAGAGAGGAAACACGGCATGAGCCACGAAACAGAGAAGACCAGAAAAGGGCTCCACCAAAGACAAAGAACAAGCCACGAAAAAAGGCATCTGGAACATGCCCCTCCCCTTCACGACATCTTGCTGTGCTTACCGGGTGGTGTCTCCCCGGTGGGGTCCCTTGTGCGGGAGCTGGAAGAATGCAGGAGCTGGCGAAGGCTGTCCGCAATCTCATTATAACGTTGGTCAAGTTTGACCTCAAGTTGATCTTGTTTCTTCTCAAACACATCGAACTTGCGTTCAAGTGCATCGATACGGGCCGTATCAGATGAAGACGTCGTGGAGACAACCTTGAGGACCTCGCCCGTGGAGGGCTTGGACTCTGGCTTATCCTTCGACTTGGCCTTGCTGGCATTACCCTTGGACTTGCCTTTTGGCTGAGCACCTGCAACGGGCGAAAGCAGGATTTCATGGATCGCGCCATTAATCTGAACAGCAAACTTCTCAGGCGACGGGGGGTTCTCGAAGCCAAGAGTCCAACAGTGCACCCCAGCGTCTCGAAAGGCCCGAGTTGGGATCGGTGCCTGCTTGGCTTTCAGCACGCAATCAACCAAGCTCGCTGGGCGGACACCAGGTGGCCAACCAGCAGCATTGTAGAGCACTTTTGGCACCGTAGCAAGGTTGGCCTCACAGATGCGTTCGTCCTCTGTCATGAATGTCTTACGAGCTTCGGCCAAGTTTGTGATCCATGCTCGTACAGCGAGTCCTCTTTTTGTAACTTGAATACCCGCAAATCCAGGGAGGCCTTGTGACGTGGCCGTGACTTGATGCAGACCACTTGGAGACACTGGCCAAAACCGTGGAAGGACTGTCGTATCATCAGGTTGGGCAGACCGATCGAGGAGTCTCGGACGAAGATCTGAGACACTGCTCCGCTGGCGGAGATCAACTTCTTGCGCAGAGTAGTCGGCACTTTAACAATGCATTGCAGTTGGGAGGCACCATCACCCCCAGGGGGGTTGCGATTCACACGAAACCCATAAAACTGGGCAGACTCAACTGCGGAAGCTCCCAGCAGTTCGATGGCCTTCTCACGAAAGTGGTTCAAAGGCTGCTGTTGCACGAATGCCATGAGAGACTTATCTGCACATCGAGAGTCGAGCTCAAAAACGAGCTCCGACACAAGAGGCGTTGTGAAAGAGCAAGTTGGCTTAGGGAGAGCGAATTTGACGTCCCCTTCCAACAGCAAATATTGAACTAACCTCTTGTAATTGGACTTTTGCTTCGGATCTTCAAGCACAACCTCGTAGGGTCCATATACCCTCGAAGCCAGAGGTCCATAAATGGCAACATCAGCAGCGGGCATGACAATGATGGAAGGTGCCGGAGGCTGCGTTTTCATGATGTCCGCGATAGCACCTTTGGAGGCGAGGATGACACCCCCACGGCTCTTGGAAGCCTGCAAACGATGGATTTGCGGGATGGCCTTGTTTGCATTGTCAACAAATGGATGTCCCGCTTGCGATTTGAGGTCTTCCCATTTGGACGATTGCCTAATCGCTTGTGCCCAAGGGTCGTGAAGCGAAAGTGGATCAACTGGACCAGCAGGCGAAGGGGCGGGAGACATTGTAGCATCCCCGTCTTGGGCTCCGCTAGGGGCTCCTGGCATCGCTACTCGGAATGTTCCCAAGGGGACTGGCCACTGAACGGAGCCAGTCAACAAGAGCGTGAATCGACCAGGCCAAGCAGGTTCCACATGAGATGGCTTCACCGGGCCCTGCGTTGGACGTCTCACGCCGTTTTTGGTGCACAGCAATTTCCACAAGAAAGCCCTCGTTGGACACAACCTTTTGGTACGTATTTGAAAAAATAGTAATGCAGAATGTTCTGACAAACCGAAAGACATACTTCATAGTTATTCATACGTGTTCCTCCAAAAAGCACCTGAGAGTGTAGTTTTACAGCCACATTTGCTTACCCCGTTTCGCAGGTCTTGGAATCGCTGCATTTGCTCTTGAAGCTTCGCTGCAGTGAATGAAGAAATAGCGCGGCGGTACAGAATTGAAGTGTCGTGTGAGAAGATCTTTTTTGTTCTTTGTTGTCTTTTTCTTTGTTGTTTTATTTGTGTTTTATTTTTCTTGCTCGCTTCCCCCCCTGCCTGCCTACTTAATTAAGCAGGCGCCTACTTTTAATCAAGTAAGGGACTCGTTCGCTACTAGTTACTTGAGCTACTAGCATGGACGCAGGATAGCCCGCGCTTCTTCAAAGAAGCTCCCCCTGCCAGAGGGCCAGGGGAGCTTCCTTTTTGCTCTCCAGCCGCACACGGAGTGGTCGGCGGCTACCACGCTTCCGCGGTGGTAGTCAGTGAACTCCAATGTACAACACCCACATCACAAGAGTGAGTCAAAGACAAGGGACCAAGAATGGGGGGTAGCTTTTGCCCCTTTCTCGAAGGCCCGGGAGAGAAGCTCTAAGGTCTTGTTTTCAAGATAGACCTCAGCGCCAAAGAACGCACCTTTCGGAAAAGTCTTCCCGTTACACTTGTTCCCCTTGTCAAGGAGCAAGGCTGCAACCACTATGTGCTTTGTCTTGCAGAAAGAAATCCCTGCTCGGATGGTGGCGGCATACGACTGTGGCGTACAAAGAGTTCCTTCAGGTAGTTCAAATCTCCAGCCACTCAGAAAGGCAGCTGCTGCGAGTTCGAACACAGAACATGCTAAGCCATCACCAAGCTTCCACCGCAAGGATCGCATGAACTGCAAAAAGGTTTTGAAATTTGGTCCTGAAAGTGGCGTCTCACCAGGGCCTTCAATGGAATCATCAATGGGAGTGTGCCATGTGTACTCAGCAGGCTGACTATCCCAGGCCCAACGTGGGCATAACTGTCGTGGCGCCAGGCGTTCCGCGGGTGCAGTGGTTACCGCAGAAACAGCCACGGGAGCAACGTCGTCCTTTTTGCATGGTCTGTTCAACTTTGCTAGCCATAATTGGCGAGCATAGACATCAGCTTCCTTGGTATGCACCTCAGCTTTCAGTTTGATGGCCTCGGTGTGGAGATGTCTTTTGGCACATTCATCCGCTTTCCGGTTCAAGTGTATGTCACGGAGTGTGGATCCTGCGCAAACCGCCTGTTGTTCTGAGATCATCTCAATGGGAAGATGCTCCAACAGGTGGGCAGGGCACCATACAAGCTGAAGCGGTGGGTCAAAAACAACCCGGCGTCTATGAATGAGGGCTAAAAGGAAGCCCCACCATTGCGCATGTGTCCACTCCAACTGGACTTTGTCAAGCTGTTGAAGCTGAGCAAACTGGTTCACAATCGTCAGGGAATCAGTATGGACAACAAGTGGGCATTCCGCGGCACAAAAGGCGGCTAGGATAGCCCAGAGCTCTGCACTGCAGCTGGAAAGGCGCCAGTGCCACACCCTGCCAGAGTCAAGCAGCGAGGCATCATCCGCGACGACAGCATAAGAGGCCATAGTGAGCCAGGGGTACTGAGCAAGTTGTACCGACCCATCTGTCCATACATGCTGACAACCGGCAGGTTGATCATGCCAGTCTCGAACCTGAAGATCAGAGGTGCTGGAGACCTTCAACTTTGCCCGAATATCATCCAACGGTGTTTCAGCAATGCCAAGCATCAGGAAGTTTGGTCCGAAGAAATGAGTAGATTCAGGCTGCTGCATATCACCAGTTAAGCCAGGACACCCTTGTACAAAGTGCTGTAGGGACTCTTTTTCTGCATTGCAGAGCCTGCACAAAGAGCTATCAATCATGCCAGAGGCGGCTAAGCGGTCTGCAGTAAGAGTACATCCTATCAGAGCACTTTCCCAATGGCAGAGAAAAGAGTACCCAACATTGGGGATTCCAGCAAGCTTCCTCTTCGCCGACAGTGTCATGGCTCGATCAAGAAACCCAACAGCTTTCTGGATGTCCTTACGGGGCATGAGGCATGCTGTATGATAGCACTTGTTGGCCGCAAGGCTTGTCAGGATACACTTAAGGTCCCTGGCCGAAAAGTCCAGGAAGTTCACAGCTGGGGCATCCAACACCGAAAAACAGAAAGGGGAGCACCAATCCAGATCCAGGATGTGACAAGCTTGTCCAAAATGAGTCATCCAGGCTTGTTCTAGAAGTTGATCCTGTTCATAGAGTTGTTCCCACAACCTCCTGGCATTATCCGAGCTTTGCAAAAACCGAACAGATTCAGTGATTGTAGCAACAGCCCGAAAGAGGAAGGGATCCAACTTGTGGACTTTATGGATGACGCCCAACAGAAGGTGTTTGGACCTCCACATAGGTCTATTTTGCCATAGTGCATCGGCAATAGCGCACTGCAACCGAGCAAGCAGCCTCTTTGGAAGGAAGTTGAGCTGCGGCGCAAAGGATACCTGTGGTAAGACCTTGGTGGCTAAGATTTGAGCCCTCTTATAGCTGTCACAAGGCAGCGAACGAATGGATTCGCAATCACGAAGAGCCGCTTGAAGTTTTGAGAGTGGAAAGCTTCCCACATTCTTCTTCGTTGTCTGGATGTGTGCTCCAAGTATGTTGACCACTTCAACAACTTTCATCCGTGGGAAGGCAAGCCTCAGTGACTTGCGAAGGGCACAGGAAGTTGCAAAGACTTCACATTTCCCTGCATTGAGGAACTGTCCACAAAGAGAGTCCCAAAGCTCAGTAGCTCTCACTGCATCAACCAGTTTATCAATGAAAGGGAGTCGCGTCCATAGATAAGTGTCGTCGATGAAGGCACAAAACTCCACACCATCAATGTTGGAGATGAGCCATGCCCAGACGGCCATATGAAGGTCTATGCAGAGCAAGCTGAGTGAACATCCTTGCACCACGCCATTTGCAGTGGAAATTGGCTGAGATCTGGTCCATTGTTTGAACGACAGATATCGTGTCGTTCTCGTGTAGAGGGCAAGGAAGCCACATACCAAACCACGAGGGAGCCCAAGGGCCAGCATAAGTGCTGCACATAGCTTGGGCATCAACCGGTCGAAGCACTTAGACTTATCCAGCTTGAGGCCAGAGAATGAACCTTGGAAACTGTGCGCTGAGTCAATTTCCAGCTGCATAGTCATATGCACTTCAGCCATCTGACGCCCTTTAATACCGCCCTTAAGTTGCCAAGGCAGTACATCTTGTTGCCACTGCTGCAACTGCATAAAGCGGAGACCGGTGTGAAAGAGGGTGAAGACAGACTGCAATGAAATAAGCCTCTTCGAGAGTGGTGCATCACTTCCGTCCTTGTTGTGTATGACCATTCTCACTTGTGTCAGCACAGTCGGAAATTCAATACGACCCGCCTCAATCAAATTGAGTAGTGTGGCAACAGGTTTGAAGGCAGAGGGGGGCAAAGCTTGAACCTCTCTCGTCATCCAACCATCCAGTCCTGCAGCTGCATCAGGCCTTCTCTTAGATGCTTGCTGCCAGAGTTGATGTGCATCAATTGGAGGCAGAATAAGGGTACGTCCTTTGTCTTGGATATACGGCCAAATCTGCTTCAGGATCAACATCTCATGTTCATGATCGGCATTGACCGAGAACACAGAATCCCACTTTGCAGCAATGGTATCCATAGCCATCTGCGGATCATAGATAATGTTGCCAGCCTCGTCCTCAACTAGGTTGGGTGGAGTTACCCGTCCCTTACGCTTGAGGAATTGGTACACAATCTTCCCAATAGTCAAGGAGATGGTGGCTTCCTTCATTGAAGTACGCCACTTCTGAATGGCTGACAGTTTCAGATTCCGAATCTCTTGCTGCGCAGCATGCAGTGTGATCTCAACCAACCATGGTAGGTCATGCACAAAGATCTGTTGAACCGTGGCTGGAACTAATTTTGCAACTTTCAGCCGTCGAAGAAGCCGGCGTTGTGTGTTGAAGAAAGTTCGGGTATCTCCAGCCCCACTTTCATCCCGGTGGAAGCGAAACTCAAGTTCCCTTAAAATGGCTCGATGGAGCTGCAGGTGGGGTGAGGCACAATTGCCATTTTCCTCTTGGAGGGTGCACCGACGAACCGTCTGAAACTTGGGTGAACCACCTCGGGTACGTGGCCCCTTTTCCCAATAGGCTCCATTTAGGAGTAGCAGCTTGGTCGCGTGGGCTTGTGATCTCCCATTTCTCATCTGCAGTGGTGGCACAATTGAAGTCATCTTCATGTCAGCCACAGGCGCTCACCCAGGATTTGAACCGGGCACCCCGGGTCATTGGCATCAGCCTTTTGAACATGTTCGAGGTTCAATTTGGCTGCTTTCTGAAGGATTGTTCCAGTTTGTTGAATACGATCCCAGGCAAATGTAGCCCGTATGGGTCTGTGTTGTCTATCTTGGTGTTGAAGGACTTCCATCCCAATCAGCGCTGTGAGGGCTGTACGATTGACAAGAATGCCATCAATTGATGATTGTCCCTCATCATCATTGACTGCATTATGTTGGACAAAGGTGGCAGGGCGTGTGACAATGCCTTGCTCATCTGAGTGAAGAAGAGGGTCAGCCCATCCCCAGTGATCCAAAGCCACCTGTACTGAGGGGTACATTCCTGGCTCCATCTGAAAATCTCCTGCCAACACAATTGGTATGTCTCCGTACTGAGCAGCTACTGTAAAGATCTGGTGTAGCAACTCGTTGTTGCGCTCAAACTTCGCCCTCTCGGATGCCGCATTGGCAATGGCATAGAAGGTAAAAGCCAGCATCTTAACCGTAGGCGAGACCTGATGCCACGTGGCAGTGACACGGGCCGTACTGCGCAGCTGCGCCCATTCACCAGAGACATCAGCATCGGCATGAAAAAGTTGTGTGACTTCTCGGCTGGCACACGTGGCGGTACCCCCAGACGGAATCCTATAGTTCCCATTACTGGCCCTTATCTTCTGCAGCGGTTCTGAGCAAAATACATGAAGATTGCAAAGGCCAGCTTTTCTTTGGGCATCCATCATATTGGACTCAGCAATTCGAGCCTCTTGCAGCAGGAAGGTGTCAGCCTCCCAATGAAGGCAGTTGGCGTTCGTG